TCAAACTAACACGACACTTCAAGACCCCAATACAGTGCAAGAGGAAGGAGCGGTTAACGAGTTGAGCCACCACGACCTGAGCTCGCATTCAGAACTGCGTTCATCAAATTCAGCATCCATGACTGGAGCCATATCAGATGAGTCTAATGTGATGTTGGTGCAAGCCTTACCAAAGATGGAGTCACAGCCTGGTGAGGAAGTACCAGCTCGAAAAGCAGATACCGACATCCAACAAGACAGAAGTAATCAGACAACCAAGGACGAACCTGCCAAACAAAGCGATATGAGAGCCGTAGAGAGCGCAGTGGTGAAAGATGTGGAAAATAATTCCGAAGCCGACTATCAAGAACAGCCCTGTATCGCAAGTAGTAACAGTCTCGCCAGAAATGAGCAGGCAGCAACCGAGAGCATCCATCCTATTATACTTGATACGCAGTCAAAGACGCCGAATACCATTGAGCAGCACCCGTCGGATGCCAGCGTGGACGTGGAAGTATCCGATGGGTTTAGGCCACTGTCGCAAGGTTACACGGCGCATGGCAGTCTGTTCCAAGAGTCAAGCAATAATGGCAGCCAAGTTGCAGGCCAATTTTCAGCATACGAATACCCGAACGAGAATGCAGTCTGTCTTAGGCCCATGCTCATCCACTTCACTCGCTCACATTCATAGGCTCACACCCCAATTGCCTCTACGGCAACATCCATAGGGACAACTTCGGTCGATTCTGCAGCGGACGCGTCAGTTGACAGAGTCGGCAATCATGTAGTCCCAAACCTTTCCTTGGGCGCCGAGCAACATGATGCCCAAAGCCCAGGAACCACGCTCTGTAACTCGCAGATAGATACCGACACTAGCGGAACTGCCATGAGCGCCAGAGAGACTAGCCCAATGATCGACCACAAACAAACTTTGCTAAGGGATTCCACGGAACAACATCTAGCCGTGGCAGAAACGGCCTTGTCGAGAAAGAGCGCCGACGAAGATTCGGTGGCTAGTTCACCAATTACTGAACCAGCTACTTATGATCAATCGCACACTGGCGCGCGTTACATGACCTCACTTCCACAAACATCTCCATTGAAGACGTCCCAGGAAACCACTCTCGACGAGATGAGAGCACAAAAGGCTGCGCTTCTAGCTTCTCTCGGTGCTCTTCCAGCCATCCAAGTGCTCATAGAAGAACACGCTCTTTCAGACGCCGAACTAGACGATGCAAACGACGTACCTACCAAAACTGACATCATGGCAGCCGCAAACAAGATAGTCAGAGAACATATCAAGTTACTGCATGAATACAACGAACTGAAAGACATGGGCCAGGGATTGATGGGTCTTATTGCAGATCAGCGGGGCGCGCGGATCGTGGAAGTGCAGGAAGAGTTTGGCATCGATGCAGCGGATTGATCATCAACACCAAGGAGATAAACGGGAATAATAAGGCCGTCGATAGCGGCATGGACTAGCCTTGAGAGACATTTGACAGACACGGGATGGCAGTGTCAAATAAACCTTATACTGTAGGTACTTCCATTTTTGCTCCATATTCAATCTGCCATCTTCAACCTACTCAAGAGTGCTTCCTTGCTTAGTGTGATAACCCGCAGACGCGCCGCGCCAGACTGGGACCTTCGACTCGCCCAAGTCGCCAGCAGCAGCTCATGCCGCTCTTTCAAGTAAACCTTAGCGGCGCTGCTTGGCCTTGACACATCAGTCGGCGAATGTCGATTACGAACAACACGATAAGCCACGAACTGCACAATACGGGACGGCGAGCGCACACTCAGTTCATTCTCCAGATCTGGACCGGGCCTTCGACGCCATGTGTTCCGGTAGCGAGAACGCCTGCGCACGGTCTTGGAGCCGGTTCGCAGGGACGCGTTTGGCCAGACTGCCGGAAACCGGAGAGACGCCGATTGGAAAGGAAGGATTTTCGAAGATTGGACTTCACCAGGAAGAGCGCCATACACGTTGATTTTTCGACCTTTGTTGCGACGACCTTCTCTCGCAGCATCGGAAAATTGTAGGATTACGATCAGCTGAGCCAAAGTCATCATTCGATGTTCCATGACTCTGCCCACATTGCCAGCTCGGTTAACATCGGCCACCAGCACCGCAGCAGGATATTGGACTGCACACATCGTCTTGTATTATTGCGGGTCTTCTTCGGTCGTTTTCACTCATGTAGTCAGGGGCCGCTGCGGAGGCTAAGATCGTACCCCGAATACACCAGCAGAGACGACCCCATGCTTCGAGATGGTCTCAAGCGGGTGTCAGTACCTGACGCGTACCAGCTCCGTGTCAGCCATCGGTGAAGGACGGATCGGGCATCTCGACGCCCAAAATTACGCAACGTCTGTAGGTCGGCGACGTTGAACCAATGCTGTACGTCCGCCTAACAGGTCAACTGACGAAGTGGCGGTGCAGAGTCTGCTCCTTGCCGAGCATACAGTGGAGTCGCATGTCGTGCATTCATGCACATCGTGTCAACGGTCTCCTACAGGTTCGAAGATCCGCGGACCCACGTAGGAACACACCCTTGGGAAGATCCCAGAAATCCCAGTCTTCGGATTTATTATTGCGACATGTATGTTTACCATGCCTTGGTTCAGCATGACTTGTAAGTCACCACGGTGGCAATTCGCATTTGGACGTCCAGAACAGACGATAGCGGTGCCTGGAAACCACCAAGCACATGAACCGTATGACGCCTTGAGTATACATTACCCGTGTCTAATTTCAGGGTTAAGATGACACTCACTTTCGGATAGCAAGCTCATACATCTAACTTCCGCGTGGCACTCTGGATGTCAGAAGCTAGAGTTCATAGTGTCCCGCTCGCCGATACCAAGCAAGGGTTCTGCTCCACTTTGCAATGCAGCTCTAGTCGCAAACACAACCGAGGGTCCTTTGGGACACCAAATTACTAGTGAATGGCGTCGAACCGCGGTGATTGGCAGTTAGAAGAAGTGCAGGATAACCAAGGCCCTCGCTAAGCTGACAGCTCCGCGGTGCATGCCGTCCCGTCCACTAACACTCTCCCACTGCTAGTCAGTTACCCATGATGAACCTATCGGCGATTGCAAAGCGCTCTTCTCGAACGGGGCATGTCTCCTTTCTGTACCAGCGACGATATATGGTCGTTTTGAAGACCCTGAATCCTTCCCGTCTGGGACCTTCTTGACCGAACTCCTCCTTCCCCAACTTTCGGCGTTACTTTTACCACACACCATGTCGGCATCCGTACAGGACTTCCAGCTTGCCGCTTTGGCCGCCGGCTTCACAATCGGGTTTGGGTTCTTGACAGTATGGGAGGCTGTCAAGCAGACACGGAGGAACCACAGCCCGCTACGATCTGCCTACATCTACATGATATGGGGTGAGATTTTTGTCAACGTGGTTATTGGCATCATCGGATGGCTGTTCTTGAACGACAGGCTCGGGCCAACGTAAGTTGTCTAGAAGACTGTACACTACAGGACGTCTTTGCTAACGAAGAGCCACCAGTGTTCCAGTCCTATTCTTCATTCTGTTCTTCTGGGTCTTCGAGGTCCAGCTGCTTATGCAAATTATCATCAACCGTATCGCTCTCATCGCAGAACACCGGAGTACCATCCGTAACCTAAAATGGGGCACGGTGGTACTCATCACTACCATCAACATCGCCGTCTTCTGTATCTGGATTCCATCTCACACCGTCCCTCCGATCAGCGAGACATACGTCAAGATCAACAATGTCTGGGACAAGATCAGCAAGGTCCTTATCCTAATCGTCGACGCCGGCTTGAACTGGTACTTCCTTCGAACCGTCAAGATCAGGCTAGTGGAACAACACGGTCTCACCAAATACGCGCCCCTCGTAGGCTTCAACGGCAAGCTCATGGTCGTATCCATCGCCATGGACGCCCTCCTCATCGGTCTCATGTTCCTCAAGAACCAAGTCGTATACATCCAATTCCACCCCGTCGTCTACATTGTCAAGCTCAACATTGAAATGTCCATGGCCTCCCTCGTCGTCCGCCTCGCCCAAGGAAAACAAAGCGACATGGGCCCCGAAGAGTTCCACAGCTCTTCTGGCCCGGACTCGCACTCCCGATCCGCCGTACTCTCGCACCAGCCAAACTCCATGCACTTGACTAACCGGTCCAAGCGCAATACGACAAACGTGCGCAGCCCGGGACTCAGCAAGATCGACAGCGACGATAGCTTGGATCTGGGTGGCATTCAGTGTACCACGGATCTGCGCATCACGCATGAGGATCGGAAAGATTACGTGGACAGGAAGGACTTTGTGGAGGGCAGCTCGAGGAGTAGTAATGACGCGCCGGCGCTGAGTGTATTTGGGGATGAGACACCGTTGCATAAGCAGGGGATGAGGGTACAAGAGAGGGAGGTGTAGAGCGCTTTTTTCTCTCTTATGTTTTTTTTCATGTTTGCGTGAGTCGTGTTTAATTAATGATACCCGTGGATATGTAATCACAATTGGTAACTACAAAGACCGAATTCAAGACAATGTGTACGTCAAAAGTGTCCTCTCTGCAAGCTTATGAAGCGGGCGTTTACTTCATCTATCCGGGACTTTGAACTCAATCCTCTATGCTTCGGCAATGAACTGATTGGATATCATACTGATCTCAACGCGCGTGTGCTGTCGCTGCCCTCACCCCAGCGCTGACTTCGCAAACGAATGCCAACTTCTTCATCGACCTTGCTTGACGTACTGCCGGGGTTTGATCCACAGGCAGCATGCACAGTCATGTGTGTATATGGATCTCGCCCCACCTCCACACTCCAACGGCTATGGCCCCCACTCGTTCGCAGAGAACCAGCCTACCACCACTACGACCAACACCACGCGACACGGTTCTACCTGATCATTCCGACCGGCACTGCGATAACGAGCTGCCATCTAAGCAAGTTCCTTGCGTTTGTGATGTTGACGAAAGAGACTGATCTTGGCCGGCATAGGTATCATACACCGAGTTGGCGATGTATAGCATTATCAGATAACATAGTAGGAGCTTACTGGCCAACTTTCGACACGTGGGAGAGGGGAGGTCTTCCCAAAATGTACTACTCCCAATCTTCGAAACCGATGTCGCAGTTTGTTGTCAATTTCAACTTGGTCCACCCTGGTCAGGGCTATGCAGTCACTGTGTCTAAAACCCGAACCGTAGTATGAGAATCCGTAAGCCAGCAGGACGACCTCTCTCCATTCTGTTGTCTGTTCTCGAGCGTCGAGGTACACTGTCAACTGAGGATCCTGAGGATCATCGCTGCCATCTCGAAACCATCTAAGCTCGCTCAGGTCTTCTTGTAGTTCCTTATCTTCCTGTTGCCTCCCATCTTGTCTTGTGTATCGCCATTCAATACTAAAAGCAGGACCTCTGATATGAAGCGCGGCACTACGCACCGCTCCATAGAGAGCTTCAGCATTCTCGAGCATGTACTCAATCGAAAAAATCTCGCACAGGTAGTCATAGGTGATAGGGTGTTCGACTTGCCCATCAATCGATATCCATGACCAGGACGGAGCTCGATACTCGACTGGTCTATCGGTAGCCATATGTCGCTTCATCCAGAACAAGCTCGCAGGCATCATGTTCTCCCAAATACCTGCTATATATCGTCCTGGTATTAAATTTCCAAACCTCTCAGCGATTCCAGACATAGCAAGGATCCTGTCTTCTGATACTGTCACCGACCGCCAGCTGTAAGATTCAATGATTGCATACCAGGAATCACGGACGAGCTCTTCGTTCAGTCGCCCGGATGGATATCTTGGATTTACCGAGAAGAACATAGCTGCGTTGATGAAGCTACTGCTGTAGACAGACTCTGCTTCTTTGGACCCAAAAGGGCCCTTGCCTGCCCAGCCCGCACCTTCGTGGTCGGAGGGAAGACCCGCGCGGGAGCGGTAGCTGTAGCTGGCGCCCCAGCCATCTCTGTGACCATCAACTTCTCGTCGACAAAGCCACTCTGTCGACCAAGTGCCAATAACGAGTCGGCGACGAGAAAGGAGGTATTCTTGCAAAGTCCATCCTCGTGTGTTTACAGCCGAACTTTCCTCTCGTTTTGACGCATCAGCAAATGATAAAGTAAGACGCTGTGTTTGGCCATCTTTTGCTCGATATTGTATAGAGCTAGTTCCAGATGGCAGAGTCCTGGGATGCAGAAAGCCCTCGGTTACTTTATCGCCCCTCTTATTGACTACTGTCAATGCCGCATGAGCATAGACCTTCGTCATCTGACTGATTTCAGCCTCCTTATCCTCCTTGCTATCCTGAATGATGCACATCGAATCGATCCAGATGTAGTGAAAACCCAGGACCTGGGCCGTTTTTGCAGCATCCTGAATAGTTCTTGGTAGAGATTCCCAAGTAATTTTCTTCTTATAAAGACCGTGGTTCTCTTGTGTCAGCTTGTTCGGTTGATCCCCACCCCAGCAATAACTCAGGGCCACATATCTTGACATGTCATACTCTTCCACATCGTCGCTACAAACCATTGTTAACTGTAGCTGGTCTGGAGGGCCTGATATCTTGATCAGGCGAGTGGGAGTATACGCGCACTCGCTCAATGAGCAGATCTTGTGGTAGCCGTCCCGCTCGTCTTCACAATGCTTCAGCCACTCACGCACATTCGTGACCGTGCGAGCTGACAGTGGATTATGAGCAATTGACTTATTGATCATCACTTTCTCACCAAGATCAGCTCCTGAATTTGTCAGCGGTGTTGCCTTTTCCAACTCGAGGTGGCGTTTCTTGTATCAGTCCGCGAGACTCTTACCTGAAGTATCACTTAAGATACAGCATATGTATAAGGAACCTCCCGCACTCCCAGCAGTGACAAAGCAGCGACTCACATTCCTACCCTCGAGGATGTTATCTTGGTAATGCAAGCTTTGTAGACATATCAAGGGATCAATGATCATGCCATGGAAATCTGTCAGACGAGTGTACAACTGGACCGCATCAGGATTTGCGTCTCTGTGCATTTTGTACTCTATTTCGTCTTTGAGGTATTGCGAAAAGTCACACCCAGCGTTAGCTTTGAGCCTGAGGTCCATCAAAGAGAGACCCAAGCGATATCGGTTCTCATCAGTAAAGTGTAGATTATCGAATGGATCTTCTGGTGGGCCAATAATAGATATATGTATCTTTTCCAGTCTTCCTGGAAATACTATATCCACACAATGTGCACATGTGTGGGCAGGGGGCGAAATGATTTCCTTCATATTTGATCTTGATGTTCGTTTGGTGCCCGTGCTACCGATGCTTGTGTCGATTCTGGTAAGGCTGATGGTGCAACTTCAGTCTCAACAGACCTGGAAAACCACTATGTCGAATATCGTTGAGCTCGTTGGCCAGATAAAAGACCGTCACTCGGTGAAAGAAATCCTGCTGGAGCAGTTACGATGTGGGATGCGATGTGATAAGTTAAAGTGCTGACCAGGCTGAGTCATGACAGCGCATACCGCCACCGTGTCACGTGGCCATGATGCGGGGTTTGTAAGATGATAAATAGCCCTGTAAGTCTGCATAGGGGCAACAAACCCATGCCACATGACGTCTCTGTCTTGGGTTTATGCGCAAGATAACAGTGCTGCAGATGTTGTGACCATCCGAAAGATTGCGCTCACGTCCTTCACTGTATACCTATCCAGATAGAATTTACTAGAAGCTCAAGAAGACACTGATGCGTCAAATCCCAGCCGCGAGCCGACGGTGCTCTTCTCGTTCAAAAACACATTAGACGAGTGACGTCGAGAGGTATACGATGAACTTGGTCGAGTGTCTTCTCACTAAAAGTCTGCCTTCGATACAACCAAGAAACCCGCAATCGGATACTCAAAGCACAAAATCAATAGCTGTCTCATTATAGACCTGAGGCCTTCGCGGCCCTTGACGCGACAACCCTCTTCTTTTCCGCCATCGAGGGACGCGCTCATCATGTTACTCCTGCTGTCGAGCCCAGACTCGGCACTAAATTCGCAGCCATGGGTCCTGAACTCTGTCGGATCAGATCTCGCAATCAGAATTACTCTGAAAATGTGAAGAAGATACAAGTGATTGCGTCAAACCCTCGGCTACTTACAAAGAGCACGAAATCATCTCAACACTCCATACTGTTCGTCGCTCATCGGCAGCCTGTTTGTGGTTTTCGGACTTGTAGACAAGATTCCAATGTATCGCATGCATAAGTATCTCCATCATTCTTTGGCTTTCGTCATGGAAAGGGGATGTCGTGCCTCTCTAGTGAAAGAAATTCATGCAGGCCAAGACCCGAGTTTAGAAACCCACAAAGGATGAAGTGTAGAGAAGAAGAAGAAGAAGAAGAAGAAGAAGAAGAAGAAGAAGAAGAAGAAGAAGAGGGGCTAATTGTAGCTTGTACATGTAATCACTAATGGGAAACTAGCGCCCATCGATAGAGTACAAGATCAACCTTTTACTATGTCTGGGAGTCTGACCTTTTGGGTGTATACGGACATCTCGCACACGCGCTCCGATGCTCGACATCCGGCTACACTACACCACCCCATTCATTTGCTGACTCCTCCCACTCTCTCTCTCTCTCTACCCAGCCCTTCCACATCTCAAATCTGTTCCCCTCCCTTAGAACGTATTACACTGCGCGCCATCACTCGTCGCAGGGTTACCGCTACTAGCTCTGCAGCAATTGGCATACGAGTTGGAAAACTCTGCGGTCGACCACCCAGACGTATAGTAAGCGCAGAAACCTCCCGACTCAACATTTCCCGTAACACGCGTGCCATCAGACAAAGTAATCCGGCTCCGGCAGCAATCGTCAGAAATATTGTTTACTCGTCCAGCTGGTGTGCACCTGCATCGGTAATTGGCCTACGTAGGGCTGTCAGCTTATTTCGTGGATGGAAGGACAGATTTATGTACCTGGGCGACAGTTGCCAGAAGAGCGCAGGTAAGAGCTGATACGAGTTTCATTGTAGAAATGGAAAGCCGGAAAGGTTGAAGGGCTAGAATGAAGGCAGAGTAAAGTGATAGGACAGTCTTAAATGCTCAAGGGCGTAATGATGAAGTCAGATTTGGCTGCAGTACTGGTGGACTCTGCAAAGGACGTAGGTGCCGTTTATATAGGAAGTTCCTTTACTTTGTGCTGCCCCGTCTCTACATCGGTACTTCCGCTGTCATCGTAGCACGTGCTGTCTTACAGCCTCATCTAATATTCGCTCCTACTTCCCTGTTACTTCCTGAGTGGGACTTGCATACTTGTTCTTACTGGTTGTATATTGCTTACGCTTAGTAAACAATATTTACCTAGGTAGGCTTAGCAATTGTACCATCCCAATTGCGCTTCCAAACTCACGCCTGTTTTATGGGTACTGCTTACCTTCCAAACCTTTGTAAATGAACGGCAGATATGATATGTATATGTAAGATCACGCTAGGAGTGCTAAAACATGCTGACATAATTTCCCTTCTTGGGTTGGACCTATCATGTTTAGTTCGCGCTCCGACTCGATGCTATGCTCGGCATGAATGTCCATGTACTGACATACAAACATCGTGCGAGCCGCTTCATGTCTGCCTGCTGGTAAAACCAGTGCCTAAGCATCGTTCCGAACCTAGTCTGGTGCCGGATGGTCGCCGGCGAGGCGTAGCCGATCAAATTGCAAGCCATGATGGTCTTAGAGAGGCTGACATGTTGAGCCTGGGCTAAGCGTGTATCGACTGTGTCAACCACCGTGTGTCTAATGCTCTAGTAATCAAGTTCGTAGCAACTTGGACGTGTCCTATATCGTTTGTTCAAGTCTTGGCCGGACTCTTCCACCCAACCTGTTGCTTCGTTTTGCAATACTCTACCCACCCTCTGCCGTCTCTTATCATTCGGATTTGTCGAATTCGGATTTGTCGAATTTGCTGTCTTGGACGACTGATTTGTTTTCTTCTTGAGAGCTAAGGGCTAAATGCTGACCGTCGAGCCTATTTGCGCTCTGAGCGCAATTTGGCGGTGACCTTCTTCCGGGCATCCCGGACGGCACCAAAACGAGTTCTGAGATAAATCGAGCCTGCGCTGTACCGGAGGTGCACCAGTCACAAGACTTTGCCTGTCAATGTCTCGTCCCCTATCTTGATAGCGCTCCAAGGCATAGGGTGGACAGGCGCCTAGTCATGTATCGTTTGAACTACTATGGGCGAACGCCTATCCTACTCATGCATCCAGATATAGGAATTTTTGACAGTTATTGGGACAGGTTTCAGCAAGGTTCTTGTGCTCTAAAATTTCACCTCGTTATGTTTATTGATTGATCAAGATAATGTGAGTCTGGGCGCATGTTTTATGCACGAAGATCCAAGCAGACATGTGGATATTGAGTGCTTTTGGTATTTGAAGTTTTCGATGTTGGCGAAGGAACCAGCGTACCGACTTTGTGGCTTTTATACCAATTCCAGAACCAGAAGAATGCTCCATCGGTCACTGTGCCTATGGACTCGGCGAAGGAAGAACATGTGCTCGTTTCGGTGGTTTTCACAAAATTGCAAATATCCTAGGGTTATTGTGCAATCTTCTGGCAAAAGAGGAGAATAAGCTCTATGTGGAAAGGTGCTCTGCTGGAGTAGCGGTTCTCGTAGATGTGGCGGAACCGATCATGCACATTATGTTTATAAATTCTTGGTCTTTCGGGAGAAGAGAGATAAGAACATGGGCATGTTCTTATATGCTTTTGAGGACGGAAACATGTATGCTTTCTTTATAGCTTTCGGCAGCACAGAAATCGAAAGGGCTTTTCGTCGATTTTATGTTAACAAAGAAGCGACTGTAGATGAGAAGGTAGCCTTCACCAAAGGTGGGATTTTATAGTTTTCTAGGCTGGCGGAAGCAACCCATGGAAACCATTCTCGAGGGATTACAAGCAAATATGACATTATGCCATTGTTTTGTCTGGGAATGCAACGTGGTGAAATGATAGTTGTGAACAGGTTGCTGAGGCCGCGAAAAGTCCATGGCTGATTTGATTTGCCGTTTTGGAGTTGACATCGACGTGTAAGCTTTGTAATTCCAGAAGAGCAGGATAGTCCATGTTCTTTTCTATCGCTCCTTTCCAGGCGGACATGGGTTGCGATCGCGGACATTTCGGCCAAAAACTGAACGTTTTGATAACTTCCGACTGGCAAAGAACATGCATAGCATTTAGACTGTTTTTGGAGCTTTACAATGTAGAGGTCGAGACGGGAAGGAGTGAGAAAAGGCAGAAGAGCGATGATTTTATATCTACCAGGATGCACGCTAGGCCGAAAGCTGTCTCAAGCAATGATCTTTTCGAGAATAGATGCATGGGATGTGTTGCCGGTAAGGTATCGCTGTATGGGAGCAAGGCCGAGAGGGAAGTGACTGCACATGGTCCCTTTCACTTTCCTTTCGAAACGAACTAAAGGGTTAGAACAAGGCAATTGAAAAGATCTGAAAGCTCACCATGGGATCACCACTCAGCTCAATCGACTAGAGGGATGTGGCAACAATATTTTGTGTGAAAAGACAAATTTATACCCATGTGAGTTGGTAGCCCGTCTGGTATCGCTTTCAAGCTTTACAGAATATGAAGAGAGTGTTGAAGAACGTCAGTTCGCGTAATCAAGCCTACCAACAGCCTAAAGAAAGGATGTGAATACACTGGATCGACCACCATCTTGTCCGCAGCTACCTCTGGCTACCAATCACTCCTTCTCGTACCTGAATACCATTTCCTGCCAACAAAGACAGACAAATGGAGCAACCCACATCTATCGCGGTACCAAGTCTCCGTCCAAACAGACCCATACAGCTGGGATGGAAACTCGCGTAAGTCGCGGTCAATGTGATAGCCCTAGAGATTAACGTGAACACGCGGGTACATGCGTCGCTTGTGTTGTCTACTTGGGTACATCCAGGGATCAACGAACCAATCACCACCCGACCAACAGCCACGAGCAAACACATGTCGATTCGAGTAGTCAGGAACAGCGACTGCGACCGCTTCCGCGGGCCAAATCCATGCGCTTTTACATGACGGTCGTGTGTCACAACGCCTATGCGATGCAACGGGCTGCGGAAGAAGTGCCAACCGGGTTGCGCGCCTGTTGACCGTTGAGCGTTACAGCATGGTGGTCGTCATGGACAAGTCGATCGGTGCTGCCAAGCGGCGATTTGAGCGCTTTATTGTCTGAAACGAACGCATGTGCCTGGAACTTTGCGGGACAGAGCTTAGAAGGAACAGCAGAAAATGGTAGGTGAGTCGATCACACGCGCAATGCCAGTATTGCGCCCAAGATTACGGCAGAGGAATGACGAGTGCACGGTATTCCACAGTGCGTCGTCAACAGGAGGAGCATTTGAGACAAAGGCTCCGACCAATAAGACGAATCTGGCCGGATGTAACCTTGTATTGTGTAGACCCGGGTGAATGGTTCTTACCGTGGTCAAGGACTACAAGAGGTCAGTGCGAGGGTATGGAGCAAAGCTGTAGCCGTTGATGCATAAAGGCTTGCAGCTCTCTCGCTGCACGACAGTCGCCATTATGCTTGGTTCGCGGCAGCTGCGGTATTTGTTAGTGGCCGATGTCAGCACCACAATAACTGTCGTACATGCGGCTGGTGTAGCGAGTTGCGGTGTGCATGGTGAAGTGGAACGGGAGTGGTGGGGAGGAGCACGGAGGAGTGCGATGAGGGGCGCTATTCATGTCGCCTGGCTGCAGGCTGCAATGCGGGGCACAAGGTTTCGAGGGAAATGCCCCTCTTCCTTGTAGCATACCATGCATCTGGGAAACGTAAACAGATGTCGAAGATGAGATGGTACGCCCGGGGTTTTGGGGTTCTGCAAATTCGCGCAAATATGGCCAAGGGACACGAAGGTCCGCTTTGTTGGCGAGGCTGGAGAGATGTCATGAAGACGGCTTACCAAGCATTTGTATGAAGCTGTGCGGGACAGGACCGAGGTGCAGCAGCGCTTGATGAAATTAGCTTGGAACTCGAAGATAGTAACTGCCGGCGCATGTTTCGGCGGACCTCGGGACGGTGGAAGGTTGAAGTGGTGACAAACTGGATCATGGAATGATGGGTGTGCAAAGTACAGTGGCGTCACGGTGCTTTGGGGGGGATGACGAAAACCAGTCAGAGGGTAGACGAAGGAGATGTCATGTTCTGGATCGGGTACATGTCTGAAGAGGAAATTTGTGGTAACCATACGTCAGCGCAAGTGCAAGGCAAGTTCAAGTGTCGATAGTTTAGACTGGTCACGCTCCACTATGAGGTATGCCATCATTCCAGCTCTGGGAACCGCTTTTGTCGTCAAAACGATCAAACGAGGGAAGGCATGTTGTGCAGAGTGGAATTAGTGAATAGCTAAGCATGTGCCGTTTCTTAACACAATTAGGCAAGGCTTCTTCGCCGATGGCCCGCACCCGAGTGAGATTCCAGCGGTCAACTGGCGACGACTGGCGTACATGATGTTTATGAAAATCGCGCAAGCCAGGCCTGTTGCAGAAAAACGTACACTTGGACGAGGCAGTGCACGATTACCCATGGATTACCCCTCGCACACGTGAATATTAGACCTGCCAGGCCTCGTTGTGAGAAGGTTGAGCGTCGTAGTCCCCAAGCCTGCCCAGCTCGCTGTTGCGCTGCAAGTTCGCGGATACCGGCCACGCTGCCCTCGCCCAAGCCAACGACATCATCTGCCGCCGATCCACAGATTGCTCGGCACTCGTGCACAGCCACTCTACTGTGGCTCTCGGATCCCGTGGTGGGAAGCAATTTGAAGAGGGCGTTGGACCTCGAGTTGCGACGGCGTTTGTCAGCGCTGAATACGCCTCTCTGTCTTTCACGTTGCACACACCTGCCCAAAATTGTCCGTTGACTGATTTCGTCCGCGCCGGCGACTCTTGCCTCGACAGTCACCGTGTTCTTGCAGCATAAATCCAACCACGCGCGCCTTCCGAACCTCATCT